ATCAGAAAGAATACTATCAGTATACCGAAAACACTCGCAAATTTGGTTATTTGAAAGTAATGCAAATTTTGTCCAAAAGTAAATATTTGCACATGTTACATGAGTAAAACGCACGCGAAAGTTTTTGGATGTAGTTTGGGTAAACGTTGGAAAACAGTGATGCATACATATAGATTTGCAACATGTTTGCTTAGATTTTTTCAGAAAGCAAACATTATTTTTCCACAGAGAGCAAATCTGGAGTAAATGTACACCGGATCTGTTGATTTGCGGAGGTATCAAATACGAAGCAAATGTAAAGTAGATTTCAGGTTTACGTCGTATTTGCACGCAATTTCAACAGAATAAACATCTGTGTTTGCATCATAATTACTTCTGATGATAATTTTGGTCAAATTTAGAGGGCTAAATTTGCACCATATTTACTTCTGTTGCAAACCTGTTTAAATCCGTTTTTTCGTGCAGTGAACATGGTTTTCATATGTCGGGAAATCCCAGGCGATCGGGGACTTTACCGTTTCCCGACTGTCCCAGATATTGCCGACTAATGAAAACTCGAAATCGTAGATATCCCCGATCGTCTGGGATGGATGGGGACAAATCTGGAGAATCGGGAGCGTTTCTATTTTCCCGACGCGTCCCAGATTTCTGCGATGGTAGGCAATCATTCCCGACAAATGCAGTGGATGTCAAACAGAAGTGAATAACAAGACAAGTACTTGTTTGTTTACTTCATTATATTATCACTTATTTTCGCGCGACTTTAATTTCGCGAGTTTGGAATAGAAATATTTCGCGATTTTAACGGATCACCGTTGTTCAAGGTAATAAAATTTCGCTAATCAAGTACACTGGTGCTCGTTTTTTAAACGTCCATTTCTGAATTTTTTTTCAACCATAAAGGAATAGAAACCCAACAAGAAAATGGCTGAAATGTTCGACATTGTCAGCAACATAACATCTTTTAAAAAGTACACTGATGTAAGCAACCGTAACTCTATTGCGCTGCCAATTAGCTTTTACTAAGGATCGCCTCAATGTTTTCAAATGGATCTTCAGTCGATACGGTTGTCTTCCCTTGAACAGTCTGAACAATCAGAGCAAGTACGGATATTCCTACTTTGCTCCATCTTTTTGCAATTTGCCGCTTTCCCACACTGCCTGTCAAGTGGTTGTGAAGAATATTTTTGAAAGGATCGAAAAACAGTGAGCAGCACTTCTGCGAACATCTCATGAGTTGTAAAATTGCATATCCAGGGGAGCGGCCTGTGGGGACCCTCCTTTATTTTTAGACCAAACTGTGGGCCGAAGGGCCGAAAAGACCAGTCCACATGTTGCTACAAGGCTCCACACCATTTGAATTTGGTTCATTTGGGGCCCATTTGGTGAAGGTAGGAACTGAATGATCGTACCACACGAAGGCCTTTAGTTGAGAATCCCACTCGAGTCCGATCCAAATCTGCTTCAGCGATGGGGCGAGCTTGTTTACGAGGTTTAGTACAAACTCGTTTTCTTCCTTGCTGTTTATTTTCACCAGATTTCCTCCCAGTCCTTTGCAGTACGCTTGGGCATTTTTCCAAGTCTTGATGGAGCTACTGACAAGATAGCAGTATCCCTTAAATCGCACCCAGCCCTATGGACAGGGAACACCTGAACGAAAAGTAGGAAGTTTTTAAAACAGCTATAATTGGTAGTTAATTTCGTGCCGGTTACATTCGAGGCAGTTTTTCGCGGGGTCTTATCTCTCCAGTTTTCGCGATTTCAATAATTAATGGCATATGAAAAAAGGCATTAAATTTCACAATTCAAGTGTTCTCAACTTAATTTTTTTTTTCAACATTTCTGAGATTTTGTAATAAATTTGTAGATAAACTGTATGGGCATCCGGCCGGACTCTAGCTAGATTTTCTTCTCCATTTACGAATATTAATAAATTAGCACCCTTGTTTATAGAAGATACAAAACAGAACTTACTAAAGATCAGTTAATTATTCGACGTGTATTTTTCAAATCATTATTGTACTGTGTATATACTGTTATAATTACATGTTTTATCATCTTTTCTGTGATTTGAATATTCTATAGACTATTTGGTCATTGAATTTCGTGTGTTTAAATTTGACGAGGATTTTTTTTCGCGAAAAACGCCAATTATAAAGCTGTATGGACTACCAAAACTACACAAACCCAACATACCTATGCGGCCCATAGTTTCTTTCTGTGGGTCCCCGACCTACCCACTGTCTAAATACTTAACTAACGTACTGAAACCGCTGACTGACCAATCTAGACACAAACTCCAGTCTACTGAGAACTTTATTGACGCCATTAAGACAATACAGATACCGGACGACCACAAACTAGTGTCATTTGACGTGAAATCACTGTTCACCAGTATTTCACTTCAACTAGCTCTAGACTGTACTGAGAATGCTATTAAGAACTCTACTGTTGAACTACCGCTACTTACAGACGACGTTATGGACCTACTCAAGGCTCATGTTTGACTTCGACGTACTTTCAGTACAACGGCAAACACTACAAACAGTTACACGGTACAGCTATGGGCTCTCCAGTTTCTGTTGTTGTAGCAGAAATTGTCATGCAAAACATCGAGGAACAAGCCCTAGCTACCTACACGCGAACTGTACCTCTTTGGTTACGTTACGTTGACGACACATTCACCGCCGTACACAAAGACGGAATCGACGATTTTCACGAACAACTTTAACAGAAAGAGCGCGGACATACAGTTCACCAAGGAGATCGAAGAAAATGGTAAGATAGCTTTTCTAGACTGCTTGGTCACTCGCGACAACAACAAACTAAAAACGACTATTTACAGAAAACCGACTCATACCGACCGATTACTAGACCGCTACTATCCGGACTCTGACGAGACGAGCGCAGCTAGTCTGCGACTCACCTGACAACCTACAAGACGAGACTGATTATCTTAACAACGTTTTTAGACTACTGTCGACGTCTTACTTTAGAAAGCTGGTTTACTAACTTTGAACAAACGCAACTGAATCGTAGCCAACAGTTACCAGCGCCGTACAAACGACTTATTGACGAGATCAAGCAAAACTAACTACGAAAGATCGACTGGAGAAATGACAATTTGACTAACAATAGACGACTGTTTAACTGTGACAACAGACGGATCGAAACACACCAATTACTGATTACGAGTCTTCATAGCCAATAACATCACGGCTTAACTGACAGACGACCAATAACATCGAGACGTAATTGACCAATCAGATCAATAACCAGAGTATAATACCATCAACTGACGTGAATAACTTTGACTCTGAAGATGACTACCGCACAGGTTGTCGAAACGTCAGTCACTGTCAACAGCAACAGTCCTATTCAGGACTACGTTCACCCGGACGATCAAACTCAATCTACTTTTGAAATGACTCTTGGGTTCAAACCTTTCACAATTATAAAACTGCTGCGAAAATACGTACCTGAGTACTTTTTTTTGATAGAAGAGACTGGAAGAAAAATTAAAAGTCTAACTATCAGTTCGTGAAAGCTATCTCTAAATTCGGGGGGGGGGGAAGTAGAGGTTATATTTTTTGCGGGATTAACTTTACTCACCAAGTATTCGCTCGATATCTCGCAGTTTTGCAAGTATTGTGTCTGTTTCGGTGAGAGCTCTAACAGTAACAAGACAGTAACTCAACTAAACGCCATGACAGAACGTAGCTCTCTCTAGTCCCTTCCGATGATGCCTAGCAATAGGGTTACCACCCTCTAACACCCTCCCCCCAGTAAAATTTACAATTTTACGTTAAACTAGAGTATCTTTGCGGCAGTTTCACTAAGCGTCCCGAACGTGTACGTTTAACAGTAATAAGTTCCATCCTAGTGCATTTAGCAGGTTCTGCAGCCTTTGCAGTGTCTTTTAGTGGTTTGACTTTTTTTCCATTCTTTTCAGCAACAACTACAGGTAGGTCTTCGGCTGTTGGTTCATGTTCTGCAGATTTCGAGGAGGGTTCCGTAACTTTGCCTTTCTGATCTTCCTTAAGATGTACACGGTTTCTTCTGAGCAGTTTACCATCCACATTAACATCGTATGAACGGTATCCACAGTTCTGTGAGACAGTTCCTTTCTTCCACTCTTGTTCTTCAGGCCTGACTCTAACGGTATCTCCAGGCCTTAATTCATTTAGGTCTTTAGCAGTGCGGTCATAATAGGCTTGAGATTTCTGGTGTTTCTTAGTTTTCTCTGCTAACACTGTTTCTGCAATCTCAGGTGTCAGTAATGTCGCTTTTATAGGTACTTCAGTTCTTGTTCGACGGTTTAGGAATCTTTGTGCGGGAGAAGTTGTCATGCCAGCAGTAGGCGTGTTGTGCTAGTCAAGCAAAATTTCGTAGGGACTCAATTTTTTTTTCTCAGCTTTCCTAAGCAAAGTTTTGAAAATCTTCACAGCAGATTCAGCTCTTCCGTTACTTTGGTGGTGATATGGTGAAGATTTGGTATGTTTAATCTTCTTTCGTTGGCAGAATTGCGAGAACTCGACGGAGTCGTAGTTCTTACCACAGTCTGTGACGATCTCATCAGGAATTCCCCATCTTGCAAATTGTTTTTGCATTAGATTAATGGTTTCACATGCAGTTTGGTTTTTCATCAAGTCAAATTCAATCGAGTCACTGTAATAGTCAACTAGAACGAGATAGTGTTCTTTCTTCCATTCAAAAATATCAGATCCGACTTTTGACCAGGGTCTGTTAGGAATTTCATGACTGATTAGTGTTTCTTTTTGGTTCTTAGTCTGGAAAGCATTGCAGACTTCACATGTAGCAATGAACTGTTTCAATTGATTGTTCATTCCCGGCCACCATAATCAAGTTCTAGCACGCCTAAGGGTTGACCCAGTGCCCATATGTGCTTGGTGTAATTTAACAATCAGAGTCTTTCGGAGTGTTGCTGGGACTACGATGCGGTCACTCCTGTAAACGATTCCATCGTTAAAGGACAGTTCATCCTTAATGTTCCAATACGGTAAGATTTCAACAGGAACGTTTCGTTTGCTTGGTTTCCAGCCCATTGATATTTGGTCGATGACAGACTGTAAGACAGCGTCCTTTGCAGTGGCTTCTGCAATTTCAGCGAAGTTGCTTGTTAAGCTTTGTTCTTCATGAACAACTCTTGTCGTTTCAATCTCTTGTTCGATCTTGCTTCGGTGCTGGTTAGTCGGTTGAGATCTGCTCAGGGCATCAGCAATAAAAAGGTCTTTGCCTTTTACATATTTGAATTCGACATCATATCCCATGATTCTACATAGCATTCGCTGAAGTCTAACAGGGTTATCTTCAACAGGTTTCTTCAATACGGCAGCAAGGGGTTTGTGGTCGTTATAGACTGTCACTTTCCTACCATAAGTGTAGGTATGAAATCTAGTGAGTCCAAATACAATACTAAGCATCTCTCTCTCGATTTGGCTGTAGCATTTTTCAGTGTCTGTTAATGCTTTCGATGCATATTGTATAGGTTGGCCGCCTTGCATGAGGCAGGCTCCTAAACCACTTGATGATGCGTCCACTTGGACTTCAACTTGTTCAGCCATATTGAAGTATCTTAGCAGTGGTGCATTCAGAATGAGGGTCTTAATTTCATCAAAAGCTTTCTGTTCATTTTCTTCCCAGATAAACGCAGTGTCGTTCTTCAGCAGAGCTCGTATCGGTTCTGACTTGGTTGACAAGTCTTTTGAAAATCTTGAGAGGTAGGTAACAACACCAAGTAGTCTACTGACTTCCTCTTTGTTTGTTGGGGCAGGCATTGAATGAATACATTCTTGTTTCTTGGGGTCAGGTTTCACTCCTTTGTCTGTAAGGACCACACCCATGTAGAACAACTCATTCTTCCTCAGCCGGAACTTCTCCTTATTAAGTTTAATAATAGGGAACTTAAGAACCACGACGAAGTTCACGACGACGACGTCTGTTGAGTGGGAAAAGACTGGAACGAGAACGTCAGTTTCGGCGGGAAAAAGGAAACTTAAGATGCAGTCGATCGGTAGGTCGACGACGACGACACTGAATGTAAACAAACATGTAGAAGTAGTACAACTGTGACGTTCGTTCGCAACAAAGTTTTTTCGCAAAGGCGTCTTTTAAGACGATGCAAGATCTTATTTTATAAGCCGTACGTCTACTTTCATTGACTGACGATGAAGAATTTTTAGTGTTGTCTGACCTTTACGAATGGAAAAATCTCTGCTTTCCGTAAGAAGGTTATTCAACTTTCGACCTGAATAACATGACCGAGTCCGAGTGTCTGTCAGAGTTTAGATTTGGAAAAAGAGACATTCCGATGCAGTAGCTGTTTTCCATATAAAGTTCATTTCCTCTATATTAAAGATGTATGATTTGCCTGACCTAAATACGTACACAAATAAATTTGTCACTTGCGAGTTCGCTCTCTCGGCCTGCACAGCTCAGTGTTGTCTTCGAAGTAAACACAATTCGTCAGTCAAATTTTCAATCAACATCGCTTGTTAGGAGAAAAAAGAAAGGATACCTGGATTTACGAGGTGAAAAAATACAGAGCCCTTGAAAAATCGCTTAAAAACAGGGAGTTATACCTGCCGAAGCTTGTGGACTGCAGGACGAAGTGATTCTACTGTGTTTGGCGTCGTCGACGACAACACGACGACGAAATTTGTTAACCGCGCTTGCGCAGTGCGCGGTATCTCACTTCCGGTCGTCGTCGACAAAGTCGTCGTCGTGGTTCTTAAGCTCCCTATTCTTCTGATGGCATCGCTCCAACAAGGCAAGTAATCTCTTGTCATGGCTAGCTGTTGCTTCTTCAATGTTTTCTCCATCGCCCCAGATCAATATGTGATCAGCTATGGCTTTTACATCTTCTAATCGTTCTAGATTCTCATCAATTCCTCTTTGAAATTCTTCAGGTGCTACACTGATGCCAAAAGGCATTCTTTTCCATTTCATCCGTCCAAGAGCGGTATTAAAGGTTGTCAGCAAGGAGCTTTCTGCATCTAATGGTACATGCCAAAAAGCAGTCTTGATATCAGCTAGAGAGAATACTTTAGCATTGCTAATGTCTGTAAGCAGATGATCGACAGTCGGGATTGGGTACTCAGATCGTTTGAGTGCCGTGTTCAGTGGTCTGCTGTCTATGCAGAGTCTAATTCCATTCTTAGCAGAAGGTTTGTTTACAATTGTTGGAGCACTTACCCATTCGGTAGGCTCAGTCACTTTCTCAATTATAACTTGCTTTTGGAGATCTTTTACTTCAGCAATAAAGTTGTTCTTCACGGAGAGGGGGATCTCTCAAGGAGCTGTTTTGTGAGGAGTGACATCATTACTTGTGTGAAGATGTAGTTCGCCCTCAAACTTTCCTATACTGTCATCAAAGACTTGAGGGTAGTTAGTCAGAATGGTCTCCAAAGTGAGTGGTGCTGTCACTTCATTGGCAGTTACAGGGACACTTGGGTTAGCTGGGGCTACTACAGCAATATTCTCTCGTAAGAGCTCAATGAGTTTGAGTGTTTCAGAGTCATTTAGACCGATCAGAGGTGTTAGGCCTCTGTCAACAATTCTAAACTGAATTATCCTTTCTTCACTGGTCGCAGGATTTAGCACAAAGACTTTTCTGGTTCCCAGGGTCTGAATTTTGGTTTCTTCATCACAGAGAGACAGAACAGGCTCGACTACAGTGTTAAGGTCAGTGAGATCATAATCTCCACTGATGTCTTTGTACACATTCACAGGGAGAATGCTACATGTTGAGCCAGAGTCTATCTGAAAGCTAACAGGAATTCTTTTCTTCGACAGCAGTAGGTTTGCAAAAGCTTTCTTGTGATCACAGTTTTGATTAAGTACACAGATTTTGTCAAGAACTTCATAATAGTGATCCTCACCTTAGGTCTTCGGCTGTTGGTTCATGTTCTGCAGATTTCGAGGAGGGTTCCGTAACTTTGCCTTTCTGATCTTCCTTAAGATGTACACGGTTTCTTCTGAGCAGTTTACCATCCACATTAACATCGTATGAACGGTATCCACAGTTCTGTGAGACAGTTCCTTTCTTCCACTCTTGTCCTTCAGGCCTGACTCTAACGGTATCTCCAGGCCTTAATTCATTTAGGTCTTTAGCAGTGCGGTCATAATAGGCTTGAGATTTCTGGTGTTTCTTAGTTTTCTCTGCTAACACTGTTTCTGCAATCTCAGGTGTCAGTAATGTCGCTTTTATAGGTACTTCAGTTCTTGTTCGACGGTTTAGGAATCTTTGTGCGGGAGAAGTTGTCATGCCAGCAGTAGGCGTGTTGTGCTAGTCAAGCAATGCTTCGTAGGGACTCAATTTTTTTTTCTCAGCTTTCCTCAGCAAAGTTTTGAAAATCTTCACAGCAGATTCAGCTCTTCCGTTACTTTGGTGGTGATATGGTGAAGATTTGGTATGTTTAATCTTCTTTCGTTGGCAGAATTGCGAGAACTCGACGGAGTCGTAGTTCTTACCACAGTCTGTGACGATCTCATCAGGAATTCCCCATCTTGCAAATTGTTTTTGCATTAGATTAATGGTTTCACATGCAGTTTGGTTTTTCATCAAGTCAAATTCAATCGAGTCACTGTAATAGTCAACTAGAACGAGATAGTGTTCTTTCTTCCATTCAAAAATATCAGATCCGACTTTTGACCAGGGTCTGTTAGGAATTTCATGACTGATTAGTGTTTCTTTTTGGTTCTTAGTCTGGAAAGCATTGCAGACTTCACATGTAGCAATGAACTGTTTCAATTGATTGTTCATTCCCGGCCACCATAATCAAGTTCTAGCACGCCTAAGGGTTGACCCATTGCCCATATGTGCTTGGTGTAATTTAACAATCAGAGTCTTTCGGAGTGTTGCTGGGACTACGATGCGGTCACTCCTGTAAACGATTCCATCGTTAAAGGACAGTTCATCCTTAATGTTCCAATACGGTAAGATTTCAACAGGAACGTTTCGTTTGCTTGGTTTCCAGCCCATTGATATTTGGTCGATGACAGACTGTAAGACAGCGTCCTTTGCAGTGGCTTCTGCAATTTCAGCGAAGTTGCTTGTTAAGCTTTGTTCTTCATGAACAACTCTTGTCGTTTCAATCTCTTGTTCGATCTTGCTTCGGTGCTGGTTAGTCGGTTGAGATCTGCTCAGGGCATCAGCAATAAAAAGGTCTTTGCCTTTTACATATTTGAATTCGACATCATATCCCATGATTCTACATAGCATTCGCTGAAGTCTAACAGGGTTATCTTCAACAGGTTTCTTCAATACGGCAGCAAGGGGTTTGTGGTCGTTATAGACTGTCACTTTCCTACCATAAGTGTAGGTATGAAATCTAGTGAGTCCAAATACAATACTAAGCATCTCTCTCTCGATTTGGCTGTAGCATTTTTCAGTGTCTGTTAATGCTTTCGATGCATATTGTATAGGTTGGCCGCCTTGCATGAGGCAGGCTCCTAAACCACTTGATGATGCGTCCACTTGGACTTCAACTTGTTCAGCCATATTGAAGTATCTTAGCAGTGGTGCATTCAGAATGAGGGTCTTAATTTCATCAAAAGCTTTCTGTTCATTTTCTTCCCAGATAAACGCAGTGTCGTTCTTCAGCAGAGCTCGTATCGGTTCTGACTTGGTTGACAAGTCTTTTGAAAATCTTGAGAGGTAGGTAACAACACCAAGTAGTCTACTGACTTCCTCTTTGTTTGTTGGGGCAGGCATTGAATGAATACATTCTTGTTTCTTGGGGTCAGGTTTCACTCCTTTGTCTGTAAGGACCACACCCATGTAGAACAACTCATTCTTCCTCAGCCGGAACTTCTCCTTATTAAGTTTAATAATAGGGAACTTAAGAACCACGACGAAGTTCACGACGACGACGTCTGTTGAGTGGGAAAAGACTGGAACGAGAACGTCAGTTTCGGCGGGAAAAAGGAAACTTAAGATGCAGTCGATCGGTAGGTCGACGACGACGACACTGAATGTAAACAAACATGTAGAAGTAGTACAACTGTGACGTTCGTTCGCAACAAAGTTTTTTCGCAAAGGCGTCTTTTAAGACGATGCAAGATCTTATTTTATAAGCCGTACGTCTACTTTCATTGACTGACGATGAAGAATTTTTAGTGTTGTCTGACCTTTACGAATGGAAAAATCTCTGCTTTCCGTAAGAAGGTTATTCAACTTTCGACCTGAATAACATGACCGAGTCCGAGTGTCTGTCAGAGTTTAGATTTGGAAAAAGAGACATTCCGATGCAGTAGCTGTTTTCCATATAAAGTTCATTTCCTCTATATTAAAGATGTATGATTTGCCTGACCTAAATACGTACACAAATAAATTTGTCACTTGCGAGTTCGCTCTCTCGGCCTGCACAGCTCAGTGTTGTCTTCGAAGTAAACACAATTCGTCAGTCAAATTTTCAATCAACATCGCTTGTTAGGAGAAAAAAGAAAGGATAACTGGATTTACGAGGTGAAAAAATACAAAGCCCTTGAAAAATCGCTTAAAAACAGGGAGTTATACCTGCCGAAGCTTGTGGACTGCAGGACGAAGTGATTCTACTGTGTTTGGCGTCGTCGACGACAACACGACGACGAAATTTGTTAACCGCGCTTGCGCAGTGCGCGGTATCTCACTTCCGGTCGTCGTCGACAAAGTCGTCGTCGTGGTTCTTAAGCTCCCTATTCTTCTGATGGCATCGCTCCAACAAGGCAAGTAATCTCTTGTCATGGCTAGCTGTTGCTTCTTCAATGTTTTCTCCATCGCCCCAGATCAATATGTGATCAGCTATGGCTTTTACATCTTCTAATCGTTCTAGATTCTCATCAATTCCTCTTTGAAATTCTTCAGGTGCTACACTGATGCCAAAAGGCATTCTTTTCCATTTCATCCGTCCAAGAGCGGTATTAAAGGTTGTCAGCAAGGAGCTTTCTGCATCTAATGGTACATGCCAAAAAGCAGTCTTGATATCAGCTAGAGAGAATACTTTAGCATTGCTAATGTCTGTAAGCAGATGATCGACAGTCGGGATTGGGTACTCAGATCGTTTGAGTGCCGTGTTCAGTGGTCTGCTGTCTATGCAGAGTCTAATTCCATTCTTAGCAGAAGGTTTGTTTACAATTGTTGGAGCTCTTACCCATTCGGTAGGCTCAGTCACTTTCTCAATTATAACTTGCTTTTGGAGATCTTTTACTTCAGCAATAAAGTTGTTCTTCACGGAGAGGGGGATCTCTCAAGGAGCTGTTTTGTGAGGAGTGACATCATTACTTGTGTGAAGATGTAGTTCGCCCTCAAACTTTCCTATACTGTCATCAAAGACTTGAGGGTAGTTAGTCAGAATGGTCTCCAAAGTGAGTGGTGCTGTCACTTCATTGGCAGTTACAGGGACACTTGGGTTAGCTGGGGCTACTACAGCAATATTTTCTCGTAAGAGCTCAATGAGTTTGAGTGTTTCAGAGTCATTTAGACCGATCAGAGGTGTTAGGCCTCTGTCAACAATTCTAAACTGAATTATCCTTTCTTCACTGGTCGCAGGATTTAGCACAAAGACTTTTCTGGTTCCCAGGGTCTGAATTTTGGTTTCTTCATCATAGAGAGACAGAACAGGCTCGACTACAGTGTTAAGGTCAGTGAGATCATAATCTCCACTGATGTCTTTGTACACATTCACAGGGAGAATGCTACATGTTGAACCAGAGTCTATCTGAAAGCTAACAGGAATTCTTTTCTTCGACAGCAGTAGGTTTGCAAAAGCTTTCTTGTGATCACAGTTTTGATTAAGTACACAGATTTTGTCAAGAACTTCATAATAGTGATCCTCACCATCTTCTTCTACTCTCAGTACAAACGGTTTTGAGGTTGGTTTGATTGTTTTGGATCTGAGTGTTTCTCCTGTTTTCCTTTTTGTAAGCGTTTACACTCCTTTGAGTCTTGAAAGTGATTTTTGGCCTTGCATTTTCTGCAGACTGCTCCCCAGGCGGGGCAGAGTTTCTTGTCTGAAAAGCTATGAGCTCCCTTCTTGTTTGCACAGTAATTACACATGAGGACTTTCTTGGGCTTATCTTTCGAAACAGCTTTTATACTCTCTTTTTCAGAAGTGCGGTTTGCACTGCACTCTTGAACTTCAATCTTTGTACTTTCATAAACCTTGCCAATTGCGATAGCTTCAACTCTCGTGAGAGTGTTTCCTTTTTCTAACAATCGTTTCTTTAGTTCTTCATCAGAGACACCATAAACAAACCGATCTCTCACTTGTCTATCTTCGTCTACATAATTACAGTCTTTAACTAACAGCAGCAGATCAGTGACAAAAGCAGTTATTGTCTCTCCAGGTTTTTGCACTCGTTCTTGAAATTTCTTAGAAGCAACAATCTCGTTACATTCTGGACTTACCGCTCGCTCCAACTTAGTCCACATCAGATCATAGTCGTTTACATCCTCACCTTCAAACCAGTCCAGGCTGTCGTATATCTTTTGACCTTCAGGACCAAGCCAATCTTGAACCAAAATACATTTTAATTCATTCGAAATATTCACAAGACTTCCTTTGAAGATGTAACCACATTTCTTTTTGAGGGCTTTCAATGCTTCTAGCCGATTCTCCCGGCGGGAGTCAAACTTGGGTCGCTCGAAGTTCATGATATTACCAGTAAAGAAACTTTGACTT